AATATACTGTACAAAAAGTTATTTGTAAAATATTATATTTTCCTTGAAAGCTATGTGTAGAATTTTAGGTCTAAAAAAGGTTTATACTAAATTAAACGATCAACCAAAATAAATTAGTGCTTCGATAAAGACAATAAGGCATTATAAAACTATGTTGAGCTTAAACCTATCAGTAACTTACCAAGTAAAAGAGTAATTTACAGCTGTAATATCGGTTTTGTATACCAATTTCGGACATTGTAGTAATCAAATTTGGACATTATAGCAATCAAATTCGAACATTGTAGCAATCAAATTTGAACATTATAGCAATCAAATTTGAACATTGTAGCAATCAAATTCGGACATAGTAGCAATAATAAACAACTGGGGGACAACGATGTTCATGGGCAAAGTTATAAATTTAAAATAAACATGTCGGTGAAATGTTATGTCTACGAATTGAGTGTCGGTGAAGTGATACGTATCCGCCTTTGAGATATAGCATAAGGTGTTATATAACATAATGTTATAAATATAATCTTCCTTTATTTATTTTCAATTTTTTTCATTATTTTTTATTTATTTTTTTTTATTATTTTTTGATAATACAAAGGACTACGTAATTACTTAGCCCAATCGGAGATAATATTTACCGATTTTCAGTGAAATACAGAAATAGTACGGATCTGTTTCGTTTTTATTATTATATTAGTAATAGTTAAAATAAGTTAAATATAAGTAAAAAAAGCATGTAATATTTAATAGAGAATTATATTGACGATAAAATATATATAGTTAAGCCTTCCTAGATTAAATGCGTAGAGACCAGACATTTAGTACTTTGCATTTAGAAACAATGAGAAAATTTGGATTTAAAGAAATGTTGCATTTAGGGTGTTGCATTTAGAGAGGTACAACTGTATTAATATTGAGATTATCACTTATTAATAATTAATTGTACTTTAGCCCCCTTAACATTTCAAGCACCCAGTTTTAAACTTTTTTTTTTTGGGCATAAACACGTACATAATCAAAATAACAGTCGAATTCAGATAATTCTTTTTCTACAGTTTTAACTAAATCATCATATTCAGCACTGGATACTTTAATTATATTTATAAGTTTTGGCTTTATACCCACGAGAGCAGCAGAATAATTTTTAATTTGCTAAATAAGTATAACATAGAAATTATCAAATTTTTGATCAATATACAAAAAAATTTGATCGATTATATTGAAACTTGCACGTACCAATTTACGAAGCTTTTCATCTGCATTCATTTTTTTTATTTCACAGTGAACATTACAAAGTTGGTTATGTTCTTTTAAATAACCTTGCAATTTATAACATGTGTGTGGGTCTATACCACGATCGTAAAACATAGTCACTACTAAAAAGCATATAAAGTTAGAATATTGTAAATGACATCATTTATCGAACGAATTAATTTGATCCTTACTGCCATTATCAACCTTTTTTGTCCCAGGCCCCATATTTCCTTTATATTGAAAGTCAGGTTCCATAAGCTAAAAAAAAATTATAATTAATCAGTTTCTAATAAACAGTTAATAAATTTTACTAAAATATTTAATGCCAACCTCTAAATAACCACCGGGTTTTAATACGCGAACTAGCTTATTAATAACTGATGGCCATTTATTTGCAGGAAATGCGGAAGTTAATAGTCGTTGAAATACATAATCGAATGTATTATCATCAAATGGTAAACTTTCTAATACATTTCCTTCCATAAATTCAACATTTGCAGGTTTATCAAGATCTGGTTGAACAGGTGAAATATCAACACCGATAAATTTTGCTTTCGGATAATTGGTTGCCACATCGATTGTCCAAGAACCAGCGCCCGTTCTAAAATAATTTATTAAAACAGCTTTAATTGTTATTGACATTTTACATGTCAAAATCATAAATTTTTGTGACATGAAAAATTTTATATGTATTCAAAACTTTAAATTTAACTCTTGATATGCTATATTTTGTTCGATGTTAAACGCCATGGTATAATTTGTTACTGTATGTAACCGATTAGTACCGTAAACCCGTGAAATAACGCACATCTGCGCGTTATTTCTACCACCTGCGCGCTATTTTGAGTACGCGCATGTGCGCTATTTCGAAACAAGATCAGATTTTTCTAAGCATAAGATGTTCAAAATAGCGCCCATATGCATCAGTCTCCTTAAATAAAGAAA